CACACACACACACACACACACACACACACACACACACACACACACACACACACACACACTCACATTCTCCTGTCTATGGATGGGGAGCGCCACCTGCTGGAAACTGGGTCCAGCGTCCCATGAACATTGTGAATGAAGCACCAACCGGGACCCCACACACACTCTCTCTTCGAGTTGTGTATAGCGAACATGACAAAACGTACATACAGCATAATCAATACCTTACCCTTCCCGATCCACATCAACAAACGAACTACCGGCCCATGCCCTCACTGTAAGTCAATGAAAAAGGGTATTCCTGGTTTTCCACGCCAAGTCCCGGAACAGCTCATTTGGAAAACTAAAACGACCGACCAAGGACCCTGCGTAAGCTTGTGGGGCTCCGGGAGGGGTCCAAGCCTCTTCCCGAATTGGAGGCTCAGGTCACTCTGGATTGTGAAGAGCGGTGGACCCGGACCCATTTTCTGTCATGTATCCACTCCGCCTCACGCTTCAGATGGCCACAGAGGTTCCACGTCTGCATCCTTTATTCATACGGCGGGGTAATGCGATGGCGCAACTCCTGTTTGTTTTTCCGTTTTTTATAACTTCCGCGTGCTCATCTTTTTTATTTTATTTTTAAAGGGCGATGACCTTGAGGTATTATCATGGGACTAACCAGCCCAGGTAAATTCAATCTTGCGTCTAATCTGACACCGGGTGGCCTTTATTTATTGCCCTCACGGAACCACCCCCCCCAGTGGGAGACACGGGGCAGGGGGCAGCCGGTAGCAGAGGGGCCGAGCATCATCTGAGTGGCCAGTCGCTGTGCCTTCCCGGTTGCCCCTTCCCCTACGAACATCAGCAGAGACTGTCGCGTTTCCTTCCCAATTACCCCTTCCAATTGGTTAGCGTGCTAATCTTCTGAGTTTCCTTCCAGTCCGGATGCTTCTGAGGACAAGAGTGCAGTTGGGTGGACAGTCGCCATAAGGTGCGCTGGATGGCGCGCGATCCCTTCCAGTAGAAGATTCTTCTAGCGACGAAACTGGGGATTCAATGGAGGGCTGCATTTTCCTGGCGTCGCCGATACGGGCTCTGTTTGGCCAATGCTGCGCTTGTTCCCGCCGCATGGCGCGAGAGGGCCATACACGTCCCGCCGTGAGGATAGCTGCTCCGGACGGTCGTCATCTACAAAGGCAGTGCAGACGTGCGCTCACCGCGCAGCGCGCAGTTAAAGCCGCGCGGATCGAATCGCTGCGCTGTCGCGAGGGCCGAGTGGCGGAGGCAACGGTAGCGGGGAGGGGGGCGGGCGCGGGAAAAAGAGTGGAGGAGAAGCGCCTATTCACAACTGGGCATTTGGCCACGTATCTGGCTCGAAATACGACCCGATCGTGTCCACGAACTCCGCGTGTCAGGGTCGTGAGCTCGGCCATAGCTATAGCTAAGGCGGGAAGGGCGGAGGTGGGGGCGGCGGGAGCGGGAAAAAGAGTGGAGGAGAAGCGCCTACTCACAACTGGGCTTTCGGCCACGTATCTGGCTCGAAATACGACCAGATTGTGTCCACGAACTCCCCCTGTCAGGGACGTGAGCTCGGCCATAGCTAAGGCGGGAAGAACGGAAATGACTATCCAAGAATCAGCAGCAGCAGCGCTGGCGGCGGTGGAGTCGACGAAGAAGAGATGGTGGAGTGAGAAGACCGTGGCTGTAGTGACGGGCTCTAACAAGGGAATAGGCTATGATATCGTACGGAAGCTGGCTATGGAGGGCTTGACGGTCGTCCTGACCTCCAGGGATGAAGAAAGAGGAAAGCAAGCTGTGGAACGGCTCGCGTCGGAGGGATTGCAGACTGATTTTCATCAATTGGACGTTTCCAGTGAGGAATCGATCCATGTATTCGCAGATTGGCTGAGGGAGAAGTACGGAAAATTAGATATTCTGGTTAACAATGCGGGGATTTTATTCAACATAGGCCATCCACGGATCGACGAGGCGCATGCTGTCATGAACACCAATTATGTTGGCGTGAAGAAGATGTGTGAGCAGATGATGCCCCTGCTGCGCGCCAGCGATGCCGCCGAGCCTAAGATTGTGAATGTAGGTTCGGAGGCCGGGTCGACGAAGAAGTGTCCCCCGCACATTCAGCGAAAGTTCCGCGAAGATGCAATCACGGTCCAGCGAGTGGATGAGCTGGTGGAGGAGTTCTTGAGACACGTGGAGCAAGGACGATGGAAGGATGACCCATGGATGGATAGGACGTACGGATCTTATTCGTATTCGAAGATGGTACTCGGAGCTTACACCAGAGCGCTGGCGAAAGAGCTCTCGGATGCGGGAAGTCCTATTCGCGTTAACATTTATTGCCCCGGTTGGTGCCGAACAGCCATGGGGTGGCAGGTCTCAGACGATGTCCAACCGCCAAGAAGTGCAGAAGACGGCTCGGAGGCTGCTGTGTGGCTGGCTCTCACACCTCCTGAAGGGGCACATGGACAGTACTTCGTCAACAAGATAAGCTGGGAATTTTAGTCAACTGATCGTCCAATCAATCAATCAATCAATCGATCCGTCAAAATCAATCAATCAAAGGGTTGGCAATCTGGTCGTCCTTTCTGATGCGAACACCAGGATAGAGGGAAGCTGCTGAGAGATGCTGTGAACCCCGGCGAGACGGATTCCGTTAGCCTCCGTTAGCCATTGTTATGGTTCCCAATGCAAAGCTAACGGCAAGTTGCCACAGAGTGTACATTAACCTGATCTCATCCGCTGTTGAGAACACACGCGGGCACATCGTTATGGAAACACATGACAGCCTCTAGCACAACACGGGCTCTGGCGAGCACACAGACATGACGGCGGGTCCAGGTTCTGCGAACCTGTGAGAGAGCAGGTGGACAAGCTTTTAAAACACACGAGGTGTTGTCCATTGTGGTGGGAGAAAGAGAGAGAAAGAAGGTCGGTCTATCCCATCTGATGGATTGATCAAGGGTTTTGCTGCATTGCTCGCCAACTGTGCACAAGGAGTAGCGAAGTCTGACCAGACGGGGGTCGTCAGCTTACCCCGCCAAGATGGTAATAGGCGATTGTCCCGGGTGGTTAATTGACTCACCGTGAGGGCACGGGTGCGCAGCCCGTAGAGTACGGGTATGCTTGATTGATAAAAGAGGCGTTATAGAAGTAGCGTGATTGTTGCATGAAAAAAAAAGGAGTATCTGCGTGTATATGTCAAGATTAGTGTGTTTGTGTTTGTGTGATACTTAGGTTGTTTGTGTTTATCACATCTGTTAATATTGGAATGTGTAGGATTTAGGTAATTTGTATGGTATTAAGGTATTAGATATTTGGCATACCTTGATTCATAGTTGGTGTCGAGGCTGGTGGTCCTTGAATCTTGGTCCATATGTCGTATATGTGAGTGTTTGAGTCTTACATGTGACTCACTCAAACGGGCGTTGAACGTGTGGGGCGTTGAATACGTCCACGTTCAGGCACATCTATTTGCCGTTGCAAATGCAGTCCAGGTGTGTCATTTCGACCTGCGGCCAAGGCCGCGCCCTTTCTGATTCGGACGTTTTCACTTTTTCACCCTGCTGCTGCTTTGCCACCATTTCGACCAAAACCCAGCACATGGTCCCATGGGCTGCTAGCGGTCCCGCATTTTTCAAAGAAACTGCCACCACCGCCCAAAGATCCACCTTGCAGCAGCTTTGCCATCGTTTCGACTAAAACCCAGCACGCGGTCTCATGGGCAGCTAGTGGTTCCGCATTTTTTAAAGAAACTGCCACCACCGCCCAAAGTTTTGTGACTGCACCTGCCTGCATTTTTCGAAACCAAACAAGCCCGAATCAACGACCGGTATAACGAAAGACGATGAAAATGTCTCAGGTGGGAAATGTCTCTGGGGGGGAAAATGCACCCCAGACGGGCTGTGAACTTTTCCACCCTGCTGCTACTTTCCCACCATTTCGACGAAAATCCAGCGTGCGGTCCCACGGGCAGCTACTGGTCCCGCTTTTTGCAAAGAAACTTCCACCACCCCACAAAGATCCACCCTGCTGCTGCCTTGCCACCGTTTCGACCAAAACCCAGCACGCAGTCCTACGGGCAGCTACCGGTCCCGCATTTTTCAAAGAACCTGCCGCCACCTCCCAAAGTGTCGTGCCTGCACCTGCCTGCATTTTTCGAACCTTCCAAGGACCAAATGAGCCCGATTCAACGACCAGTATAATGAAGGACAATGAAAATGTCTCGGGCGGGAAATGTCTCAGGGGGGGAAAACGCACCCCTGACGGGCTGCGAACTTTTCCACCCTGCCGCTGCTTGGCCACCGTTTCGACCAAAACCTAGCGCATGGTCCCACGGGCAGCTACCGGTTCTGCATTTTTCGAAGAAGAAACTGCCACCAGCCCCCAAAGATCTACCCTGCCGGTACTTTGCCACCTTTTCAACCAAAACCCAGCGCGCGGTCCCACGGCCAGCTACCGGTCTCGCATTTTTCAAAGAAACTGCCACCACCCCCCAAAGTGTCATGCCTGCACCTGCCTGCATTTTTTGAACCTTCCAACGACCAAACGGGCCCGAATCAACAACCGGTATAACGAAGGTATAATGAAGGACGACGAAAATGTCTTGGGGGGAAATGTCTCAGGGGGGGAAAACACACCGCTGACGGGCTGCGAACACTAGGGTAAGACAGCGGGGGGGGGGAAGGGTTGCGTGTGCCCAAGGAAATTGACGAGAGGAAGGGTGGGTAGGGGTCAGCTGAGGGGTTCAAAGAACAAACAAAGCAGTACGGTATTCACACCCGAAGATGGATAGTTGCACCCGCTTTTTTGTTTTTTGACTTTTTCACGTTTATAGACACGAAAAGTATAGATGGTGAGTATTCTGAACGGTGTAGAAAATACACAAACCATCTGTTTATTCTGGCTGGTCTAGAAAATACTCAACCCAAAAAAAAAAAAAAAACTCAAGACCAAGTAGACGTAGTCCGGATAATGTAGCAGAGAAGCTCACGTTTCCAGAGTCGACGTGGCACTTCAAATTAAAGTGTGTGTGTGTGTGTGTGTGTGTGTGTGTGTGTGTGT